GGACTGCCAGGCCCAGGCCCGAGGTGGCAGCCAGCCCAGAGCCGGGTCCCAGAAAACGCGAGCCCCTCCAGGCCGCCACCAGCCGGCTAGAAAGGGCAGGCGGGGCCGGACGCAGGGGCCTGTCGTCCCAGCACTCTGGGAGGCCGGGGAGGGAGGCTCGCTCGAGGTCAGGAGTCGGAGGCCGGCCGGAGCAAGAGCGAGACCCCGTCTCTGCTAAAAAAAAATAGAAAGAAATGAGCCGGACAAGTAAAAATATAGAGAAGAAACGAGCCGGGCGTGGTGGCGCATGCCTGGAGTCCCAGCTACTCGGGAGGGAGGCCGAGGCGGGAGGATCGCTTGAGGCCAGGAGTTGGAGGCCAGCCTGAGCAAGAGTGAGACCCCGTCTCTACTAAAGATAAAAAAAAAAATTAATCGTTCAACTAAAATAATATACATAGAAAAAATGAGCCGGGCGTGGTGGCGCATGCCTGTAGTCCCAGCTACTCGGGAGGGAGGCCGAGGCAGGAGGATCGCTCGAGGTCAGGAGGTGGAGGCCAGCCGGAGGTGGGTCGTGTGAGACAAGTCTCGCTCTGTCGCCGGGCGGGAGTGAGCGCCGTGACGTCAGCCTCGCTCACCAGCAGCCTCCAACTCCTGGCCTCTGTGAGCCTCCTGGCTCCAGCCTCGCCTCCCGGAGTAGCTGGGGACTACAGGGCATGCCGCCCTCCACGCCCGGCTTCGGTTTTTTTTTTTTTTTTTTTTAGTTGTCCGCTCATTATCGTTTCTATTTTTTAGTAGAGACGGCGGGTCTCGCTCTTGCGGGCTCAGGCTGGCCTCCAACTCCTTGACCTCAGTAAATCCCCTTGTCTCAGCCTCCCTCCCGAGTGCTGCGGGACCACAAGCATGTGCCACGGACGCCCGCGCCTCGTTTTTTCTATAATATTTTTAGTTGTCCAATATAAATTTTTTCTACTGTTTTTTTTTTTTTTAAGGTAGATGGGCGATCTCGCCTCTTGCTCGGCTGGCCTCCACCTCCTGACCTCGAGCCATCCTCTGCGCTCGGCTTTCTCTCCTCGAGTAGCATGGACGAACAGGCATGCGCAACCACGCCCGGGCTCATTTTTTCTCTGATATTTTTACTTGTCCGGCTCATTTCTTTCTATTTTTTTTTAGTAGAGACGG